CACCCCCCCATTGATCTTCTCGTCCCAGGATAGCAGCCCGACATCTTATTCTCTCTCTTTCGAGAGATGATTAATGGAAGACCCAATTTGGGGTTTTTCGCTGCATCACCACAAGCAATGTCATTGAAAATTTCGTGAACATAAAATGCAAGTTGATAATACAAAGGTAAAAAGAAACAACTGTTATGAACTTGGTTGTCTGACGATTTTTACCGCCACTCACACACAGACAGTCTCATACGCGCCCATACATGCATAAGAGAAGGGGGAGAGGAGACAGAGTCCAACTGTACACAGATCAGAGTAAACAGCGAAAGTTCAGCCATGCACAGATGGGGAGAGGACACTGCGTGTTTCTCACTCTCTGACAAACTCCCAACAACCAATCACAAGAAGAAACCTGCGAGGATAACAATTGGAATTCACACTGATGAAGAGCCAATTAAAACCAGATATCGTTACAGAGTTTGTTCCAGTATCTCGGCACACTCAGAACCCCACACTCCACTCTCTACCCTACACCCAGTTAGTAGCGCACAACAGCCTCCCAGAGGCCAGCGGCAACCACCCAGATGAAGAACAGATCCTGTGATGGAGTCTTCAGTGCCGATGGACAACTCTGACGAAGAAACGGGCAGCTATGGCTGCCGCCACCCACAAACACTCAGTGAAGAGCCTCGATATAGCCTGGCCAGACGCAGATACCCCCAGGGTAGATGCGTTGAGGATGTCCCAGCTCCGACAACCTTCAGAAGGCCTGCTATGGCTGCCGTCCTAGGCAAGGGTCTCAGGATGCCGCCTGCAGACAATTGCCACCGCCAACTTCCTTGGCTTCTCCAAACGCTGCTTCCCCAAAAATGAACAGCCAAAAGTCCTGAACCGATTTTCCTAATCTATTAATAGATCTACACTACCCTAGCCTAGACCTAGACCCGACTGACTGGACCGACCGGTATCGATTCAGTTTCGGCCTTTCCCTACCCGGCTATAGGCTATAGGACTGTCTGTCGGTATAGGCCCTCAGGGCCTGTCCGTCCTAGGGGTAGCCCGGGTCTGCTATACACAGTTAGGGTCAGCTGTAGGAATTTTGAATTAGTGCTGGGCCTGTATTTTCCCGAATTTGCAGATATGTCCCTCACGGATAGTCTGAAACGGTTTCCCCCTTTGCAGAGGCATATGCAGATCCCAGGGTTTGATCCCCAGACCTTACCTCACCCATGTATAGTATCGAGTTGACCCTTGAGTGCTTGAACCCGTGACCTGTGTTTTATAAGTTGTTGTTTGTCTGTCGTAGGACTGTGTGGACATAGGGATTCGATCTGTAAACCTGTCGAGTAGAGGTCTTAGACAGTTCCAGAAGTCGTAGCTGTAGATGTTYSGAAGGGTCAAAGTCGTAGCTGCTACAGTCCTGAAGAGGCAAGGTCGTAGCTGCTACAGTACTGAAAGGCCAAGTCCACGGTCTTCCGGAAGGTCCGGAAGTGGCCTTTTGAGTTTTCCTCTCACGTTTTCCACAGAAGGCCAGAGGCAAGTGGGCAAGTGGTGCGTCCAACTTCGCTTAGTCAGCGGTACACAGTCCCCCTTGGTACTTGCTGACTGTGCAAAGAGAGACTGGGACTGGGTACCGCTGACTAAGCGAAGTTGGACGCACCACTTGCCCACTTGCCTCTGGCCTTCGGTGGAAAACGTGAGAGGAAAACTCGAAAGGCCACTTCCGGACCTTCCGGAAGACCGTGGACTTGGCCTTTCAGTACTGTAGCAGCTACGACCTTGCCTCTTCAGGACTGTAGCAGCTACGACTTTGACCCTTCG